TTAAGCAAATCCCCTAGAGGAGCCTTCACAAACATCACCATCCTCAATGGAAGTGCCAACATTTCATTAAGATGAGGTTGAAGTATTCAGTCTTCAGAAGTGCTGATTAGACAGTTCATCTCAACTTCCTCCAGAGGTCCCTAGCATCACAGTTGCCAGTCTTCAGCCAATTTGATTCACTCCACATGATATCAAGAAACAGATATTAGTTGCTGCAAAGGCATTGAAGATTTGTGCTTTCAAAGATTTTTCTTTTTTTTAAAAAAAAAAACACCATTCTGGGTATTTCCACAAAACTTGAAATAAATTTCCCTTTCCTCAGTCATTCAAAAGTCTTTCAGGCAATATTAGTGTCGTATGACACTATTTTGTAGATTTGAATTAGGTGTAGAGTCAGTCATTTTTGTCTAGTAATATCCACCTAGATCTGCATCAATTTCATCGGCTTGCATTTGCTCTGTCTTCAGTCCCCAGAACATTTCAAAGGATGATAAATCACATTGAAATAAATTGAAGGGATAGTTACTTGGATCACTTGGCTATTTTAGCTTCAAACAGGGGCATCCCTGATGACAAGCTGAAGGTGTTCCAGTATTTAAAGTATAGAGCTTAGTGTGAAGACTGTCAAATCAAATGTTTTAAAATCCTGTTAAGTATTTGCATCACTGGTTAGACAAAGATGAGCTGCATCTTTCCAGAATAATGTTCAAGCATCAAGATATGTGCCATGTGTACCATATGAGCTCATCATCTTTTGGATCCAGTGACATACTACAGACCATGTACAGCCAAGTAGTCAACCTTGCCACATTTGTAATGAGGAACGGTGTTCTATGGCTTTGAACAGAAGGATGAGAACAAAGTATTCAAGTTTCTTAAAAATAAACTAAAATAGTACAATAATTACATGTTATGATCGCTCCAAAAAGGTCAAGCTAACACATACCACTCTATACGGTGTAGGTGATGTGATCTTTTTTATTCGATAAGGAGAGACTTGTTTGGCAGGTCTGAAGGGATTTGTTTTTATTCATTTATTCATGGGATGAGAGAATTGCTGGCTTGGCAAGAATTTATTGCCCATCCTTAATTGTTAAGTCAACCACATTGCTGTGGGCCTGGAGTCACATGATGCCAGACCAGGTAAGGATGGCAGTTTCCTTCCCTAAGGGGCATTCATGAACCAGACAGGTTTTTCATGACAATCAACAATGGATTCATGATCATCATTAGACTCTTGATTCCAGATATTTATTTATTGACTTCATATTCCACCATCTGCTGTGGTGGGATTCGAACTCTGGCCCCCAAAACATTGTGGGATAATACTGCTTGGCCATTGCCTCCCAGTGTAAGATAATGAGTAAAATTATGCTCAGTATAAATGATTCCATGACTACAGGAATTCTCTGGTTCATGAATGTCCAACTTAGGAACACTCCTACTTGACAGCACAATCTCCTACAAGGTGTAATTCTAAAGATCCAACATAGGAATGTTTCCTGTATTTAAAAATGACTATTTCATATTGTGCTGCATTATGATTTGACTTGTGAATGGACTTGAATATAACCGATTTGCCTGTACTTATGCAGTCATAATCAAAACTGATAAATCAACCACTGACTCTTTTGAAACCAAAGGCTCCAATACCCAGAGATAGTAGGAACTGCAGATGCTGGAGAATCCGAGACAACAAGGTGCAGGGCTGGATGAACACAGCAGGCCAAGCAGCATCATAGGAGCAGAGAGGCTGACGTTTCGGGCCTCGACCCTTCATCAGAAAAGGGGGAGGGGAAGGGGGTTTTGAAATAAATAGGGAGAGAGTGGGAGGCGGA